GAAATCATGATCCACATCTCAGGTAGAGAGGAGGCCTCCTTTTAACATAAATAGAACTTATTGAATAGAAATATAAGTTTAGGGGCTTTCTTTTCATTTACGTGTTTCAGCGACTTACTCGAGAGTTTAAAATCATCCAGCCATCTGTTTACACATGGTTTAGCTTGAAATGTCTGCATTTGTGAATAAAACATTTCCCAGTAACAAGACAGTCCCAATCACCAAGTCTAACTTTGGGTTCTCAGCAACCATCCCAAATTTAACTACAGTCAAATGTGGTAACTGAATTCCCCTGGACTGTAGCCAGCTCCACATGTCAGTCCTGTTGCTGTTCCTCCATATGATATTAAAATGAAGATTATTTATAGACTCAATTAGTTTTGGAGAGGCTGATAGATTAGTCTGGACAGACTGTATATTTAAGTTAGCAAGATTCTCCCAAACAGTGTTTTGTCCCTCTGCAGCCACCTGTTAAAACTGACTTACACTTTTCTATATTAGGACAGATATTCTTATTTTCTTTTAATATCTTATTGCTGCAAACGACACTGCCCAGATATCGCAGGTCCTTTTTAATCTGTATATTGCTGATTGACTGCAGGGGGCACTCATGCAGAGCTAGTATCTCACATTTATTTATATTCAGCTGTAGGCCTGAAGCTTTGGAGAAGTGGTTGATCACCTGTAAGGCTGAAGGGAGCTGGTCCTCATTTCTCAAAAACATGGTGGTATCATCTGCCAGCTGACTGATTATGATCTGTTCACCCATCACATTTAGTGTGACTGTTTTTAATCAGAATAGATACTCCATCTGTCCCTGGAGACGTGTTTAGGGCCACTTTAATGACCACTGAATCCCATTCCTCAATTTTGAATCAAACAAATCTAAAAAGTTTGTTAGTACACATGTGAGATTATGAATCTTACTAAAGAAACCATCAGCATCTACTGCAGAATAATCTGAGGTGTCATGGTCCCGAGTCTGATGACTCAGTGTTTTTGTTTTGATTAATATTACCTTGTGTTTTTG